ATAAAATCCCCCCTTGTTTGACTGAGAAAGGCTCCCTGTGTTTGCTCTGGCACGACTGTCCCTCAGCCTTTAGGAGTGCAAGGAACAGCTCATCTCTTACGGGTACTCTGCAGTCGGGAGCGCAGGAAGCGCTGGCAGTTGTGAGACCCATCCGCGTGCCTCCAAGTGCTGTCTCTGCAGGACATTTTGATGCTCCTCCTGGAGCAGGGCTGGTGCTGACACCACGCCTAGCCCAGGACGTGCCTCAGGACACAGTCAAGTCCATAATCTGCAATACCACAGTAATTATATATTATTCAAGCTTAGAATATGTATTTGTGGGGTTTGGGGTTGAGGGACATTTTTCTTCCACCGAGCTGTTTTTCCCTACGAACAAAAGCAGACTTGCCGTGCAGAAACAATGACTTTCTTAGAGTCCAGTTCTGCCCTCGCTGCAGTCACTGGAAAAGTTCACACCAAGGTCTTCAGGATAAACAAGCAACAGTTTCTGTTTTCTCCCCTTATCCTGAAACACCCTATATTGGTTTTAGTCCTTCAAGGCCAAGCATTTCACCAACGACCTCATCTATGGCAGAAGCACCACACAGTTAAAGACCATAATCACAAACTTGATACAACTGCATTCGCTGTCCAGCTTAAGAGAGATGTTAAGGCTGGACGCAGTGCCTTAAATGTGTCCTGCCAGGAGATGGGGTCTTCCTGCTACTGCACTAGCCACCAGCTGTTCAGCTGAGGAAGATTTTGTGACTGCTTTTATGTTATTTCTGTTTGGTAGATTAAAAAAAGGACTTCAACAGTTAAGATGAACACTGTGCTGCAGCTACCTGGTCAAGCAGAGGAGTTGCTTCTGCATGTGAAGACTCAATATTTCCATGAACTTGAAAATAAAAGAGCTAAGACCAGTATTAATAACAGTATTAATTAGTTGACACACATAAATTTTCAGCCCAGTATCTGCAGAAGGATCCTACCTGTTCCAGGTGGCCAGTTAATGAGGCAATATATCTGACAAGCTTGAGACTGAATCTAGACAAAACAAAACTGATAGAAACAGTTACACTGGCATTAATAAGAATGTTTTTAAGAATGTATTAAGAAACCAATTAATACACAGGCATTAATCGTTTTCTTAATTTACTTATTTGTTTTTATCCAAAATTGTTTTGATTCAAAATTAGTGTTGAAAACAACATTTATTCTTCTTCACAATTGTTATTTGCAGACACAAGTGATAAAATGGCCGCTATATTTGTTACATATGCAGTCATGAATATGGAACAAAATCTATTAGTATTTATGAGCTAAAATGCCTGAAAAAATGGCACCAGGAGAATGACATGCTACCCAAGCACCTGAGAAGGCCAGAGCCCAAAAAGCCTGAGTCCCATATAAGGTAAGTCCCATACAAGGTAAGTCCCATACAAGGTAAGTCACAGACCAAATGAGGAAATGGGAGGAAGAACAAAAAAAAAAAAAAAAAAAAAAAAAAAGAATTTTAGGCAATAGTTTAATGGTTTGCAAGTACTTCTTTCTCCATTTTACTTCGAAGAGAAGGTAGCCATCATGGCTTGTTTTAAGCTTTCTGTTAAGTATCTTGTTCTCTTTTTGTGCTCCATCTGTGAGAAGCAGGAGTAGTCGCTGTGGGACATGCCAATTTATGTGTCAGTATGCTCTGAATCGAAACACAAAAGCCTGCTTCACAGCCACATCACTGCCTTTTGACTCCTTTCAACAAAGGCATTTTTTAAAATGGGCAAAAGCATGCAAGAATAATGTGCAGACTTGACATATACAGTCACTAAAATAAAATACCCTTCAGGTAACGGTAGATACTTCAGCCAGGTTTCACGCCTATAGCGTCAGCTATAAAAAATGCTGACTCTAGCAGTTAGCAGTGGTAAACAGTGAGCAGCATTGAAAACAGGAGTTCTTTAAAATAAGAAGTACAGTACTAGATGTAAAGTGACTAGTAGAAAATAAAGTATTTTTAAAAACTACTTATAGTTTATACTGTAGTTTCAAGCTTTTATTAAAATACATTTATAAATAAATAACATCCAGTGGATGTTATTGGTCCCTTTTTATTTACAAGCCTTAAGAGATTTCTTTTTGAGAGATTATATAAACACAGGAGGAATAATTTGTGTATTATAAACCAAATATTTTACTTCTGTCAATTATGTGTGTTTGTGCTACGGGTTATGTTTCGTAAGATGCCTAGATCCCACTTCTTTAAATCAATGAAAATTGATGATCTCCAACACCCGACAGAGCTGGGCTCCCATATGTATCCTAGGGATGTGTGCGCAATGTACAACCAAGAGGAAATCTTATCTGTGCTTTGCCTGGAAGCTACTCGCAGGACTTCCCCATTCCCACATAAAGTTATTTCACCATGTCAGCTGGATACTTTCCCTAGACCTGCCTGCTGGACTGAACTACTTTGAGCCAAGTCTGGACCACTTGTTCACAGGCAGTTAATTTACCCACTCTTTTTTTTATAATCCCTATAATTTCCCGCAACTTCCCTCAATGTCTGGAAAAGTAGACAAATTCTCCTACAACTCATTGTGAAGGAGTCATACACTAGATCAGTTTACAGCGTTACAAAGAAATATGTCCCCAGAAGACATACACAGACGAGAGCAGGATCACAGAGAACACTAACCAGCTGTTCAAAATAATAATAATAATCGAACCGAAGTAATATCAAATTGGGTCTTGGTTAACAGATGCCAAGCAGCAGAGTTGAATCTGCAGTAAAAGATAGATTCAAGAGACACTTTCATTCTATTTGCTATTTTTGTTGTCAAGCCCTTTTTAATTATTACATGTAGTGTGGTAAAAAAGTTGGAGAAAATGAGAACTCCGTCTAAAAGAGGAGGATGCAAAAGGAAAAATCAGCTTATTTTGAAACACACTATTCTTATTTTGAAGAAGTGGATGCAGAGAGACAGCCACTCTTTGAGAGAACAATCCAGCAGAAGGCTCCCAGATATGAATCAGAAAATCGTCTCATTTATGCAATGAGTCATATCAGGCGCCACACATCTCCTGCGAGGTGTTGTGTGCCCATGGTTCCCCAGGGGATGCTGCCCTGCTTCCGGCATCTGTCCCTAAATGCCTGCTGATGCAAGTCTGATCAGTTCTGTAGCTTGAGCTAAAATTGTTTTTCCCCCTGCAGTTGCCTCATGCTCCTGGCCTCAAGAAAATAATCTCGGTGTTGTTCTTTTTCCGTAAGACTTACTCTCTATCATCTGGTAAATGCTATAACTGACCTTGAGACCACATACACGTACTGCATGTCTCAGTTTCTCAACTTAGGGAGGAGGGATTACCCCAGTTGTTGAATGGAACAGGCAGTGTTCAAAAAAAAAAGAAAAAAAGCTCAGAAATATTAACTGCTTACATAAAACTTTTTATAACTTACATAAATCTTTTTTTGAAAACTCAAGTGTCACGGGAAGACAACCGCTGCCCTGATTACACAGTGTTTTGTTTGTGGAACGCCTAACACATGCCTTCAAGGAGAAAGTCATCTCTTTTTCTCTTTTTTTTTTTTTTTTTATATTCAATAAACTTTCCAAAGTACAGAAAATACACATTCATTTCCTGCAAGCAAAGGGGGTATTTGTCTCAGCCAAGAAAAGAAACACTACTTGGTTGCTCTTCTAACAAAAAGAACATTAGGAACAGGCATATTAAGAGATCTAAGGCTTATTGTGGTTATGTGAACTATTGGATGTGAATCATATTAAAACTGTATGGGTCTTTAATGAAGACCTCTATCATGTGCCAGTGACAGAAACCATGGAATATTTTTATATGCACAAATTGTTTTCTTTTAAAAATTGTCAGCTGCTAACAGTTCAGAAACAGTTTTTTAGTCTTATTTCTTTATATTGTCATACCTTTTGAGAAGGGCAAAGCAAAACCACCTGCAAATCGAGCCATGTAGATTTCTTTTCTGCATGCACCTCAAATGAAAACTCCTAAGATCTAAATCCAGGTATTAAGCAACCTACCTGGCCTTTTTGGAAATCAGTTTGAAACCACACTATGTAAAAGTCCATTTCAAGATGAAAGTAAATAAGACTTTTTTAATACTCAAATAAAATCTTAAAAATACGTCTGATGTGAGTGTTTGAAGAACACTCATGAGCTTTCAGAGCAGTTACTCTACCCGCAATGGAAAATAACTGAGGGTGAGTCTGGATTAGTGTTCAGATGACAATAGATGCATCAGTACAATGACCTCACTGGAAGCTGTGGCTTAAAAGAACTGTAGGTTTCATCTGTAAGGTTTTAGGCTTACCTAGGCATTACTCCACTTACTGGCAAAACTTGCATAGACTTCAACAGGAAGAAAATCGGGCCCCTTGTCTAGAGCAGTACAAAGAGCATATTCTCAAGTAGAATACACTCCCACCCATTGCCATGCTCAGATAACATATGCTCATTAACCAGAACTTGAAGTAAAGCCAAAAAGTGAAATTTGCTGATAATAGAATGTATACAAAGATGTTAATAATTAGCTGAGAATGCATATCATAACACACAGCATGATGTTTTCTCTGTACTCTCATACAATACAAAATGATTCAGTTTGAAGCTAATTTAATTCAACTCCTGGGACAAAAAGCAGAGTCTTTTTTATATATTTTTTACTCTTTTGCTTCTTTTTTTTTCTTTCTTTTTCATTTGCAAAAGCAATATGGTTTGGTTAAACTGAAAGGCTCAGTCAACAGGTATTTCCTGAAAATATTTTCCATAAAGAGTTGAATGTGGGTCTCCAGAATGAAAGCTGATACTCTCTTTTTTTATTTTTCCAGCCAAAGGTTTCTATGATCTTGATTCTTTAAATGAGGCTGCCTGGATCAGCGCCCAGAACCAGCTCGTTCCATGTGATATTTGTGGGCGTACTTTTCTTCCAGACAGACTGATCATCCACCAGCATTCCTGTAAACCGAAACGTGCGGTGTGAAGTGGATGTAACGCACAAGCATGCATTCACATGCATGCTCACACACACACACACACATGCACGCATGAATACCCACACATGCACCCCTACCTTTCAGCCAAACCATGACAGAAATACAGTCCAGCTGAAGAGCTAAAGCCATAGTGTGTCGTCAGATTACATGATTCAAAAGCCTCCAGAGTAAAATCAGCAGTTGCTACTGTAGTCTAAGGTCAGATATGGTGATTTTTTAGCCCAACAGTAGCAAAAATGTCTCCTTACTTCTGTTGTTCAGATAGTGTCACCTTGAAGCCACAGTTTGAGAGGGATGGCATAAGAATATTTGAAAGTAATGTTAACTGCCATAGAATCATAGAATGGTT